TAAGTAAAATAAGTAATTAGTTAGTAAGCTATAGTTAGGTAATTAGTTAATAGACTCGTTCCAACAGGATTTACCTTTAAAATGGGTAACACCAAAGGAACGAGATTACGACCATGCAGCACGTGTAGAGAGATCAGCCTGACGAATAGGCTGTGAAAGTGTTGGGACGATTGTACGGAGGCTTTTTAGCTCAACCTATAGTGACGATTAACAAAGGCTGCTTAGCCCTATTGTGTCTATTGTTCCTTGGTTCAACAGCCTCAACCTATTGTTTATATTTTACTTGCTTTCTATTTTGAACGCAATTATACATAATTATAATAGGTTTAAAACTTTGTAATTCGGCTAATATAAAATATGTTGTGATGAGAATAGCTGTGTGGCCTGAGCTGTACAGTATATCTCATTTCATTTGGTGCATGCTTTTCTTAAGGGTACGCATGGTGCTGCGCCTTTGGTATAAAATTCGATTGTAATCTATAAGTTGCTTCAGCTATGTTCGCAACCTTGCGAGGTTGCCATGTTCGCCGACGAACGTGAACGTAGAACTTGTTGGCGCATTGGCACGTTGTTATATTGCCCGGTTTGTTCGAATTTCCGCGCATTGTTGATCCATCATTAGATTACTGTGGCAAACTCGTTATCCTGAAGTATATTCCATGCATATTTCCTAGCGTTGGCATCGTTGGTCGCTAAGAATGATCAATTCGTTAGATTATTTCAGCAATGTGCGCAGAGCAAGAAAGAGTATTATATTCCGTCTGGCAGTATCTGTGTGGCAACCAGAGCCGTAACTAGAGCGATAATTATAGGGGAGGTGCATATTCATATATTTTGTTCTGCCTATTTCAACATAATTGTCAAAGGACCGTTTTTCAAGTTTGACAATGACTTTCAAACAGAGTGGAAATATCACCTGAGTATTCTGCCTTGTTTTCCCACATCCTGAGTCAAGGTGTTCAGTTGTTTCAGTTTAACATTATATAACAAACCGCTCCATAAGTAAATAGCAGCCACTCGCGAGTCTGGGATTAAACGCTGGAAATCTACTGATCAAAATATTAATAAGGGACTAGGTTACAGGGAAGGCCTAGAAACGAGACTGGTAAGCCGAACACTGACAATATGCTTTTAGACTGCTTTCTGTCCATATTGTGAGGACGTGGAACAAGACAACGAGACTCGGTGTCGCGTGTTTATAAATTCTGCCCCCCCCCTTGCTCAGCCGTTTGTATTTGATCTACTCAAGCTATGAGCTATTGTAGCATCCAACTTTCTCGGTGCAATTCACCTCTGACGTATGGAATGTAATTTGTTATTTATTAAGCAGTACCATATGTTGTAATTTTCGTATGCCTGATATGTATGATTCACTGGCCTGAAACAACTAATACTGTGTCGCCCTAATATAAAGTACCCTTTTAGAATAGTTTCCTGATCTTTAAAAAGCTCGTCTACCATGGAGTTAAACGGCAGTCATCTTGATCATGATATACAAGGAGAGCAAAACCATTTGCCTGCCGAACAACTACCAAGTCATCATAGAATAACGTCGAAATTTGGTTGGGGGAGGTTTAGACCAAGATGTCTAAATTTTCTTGCCAATCCAAAATGCTTTCTCGTGGTTATCATATTATATACGTTAGGCGCAGGTAAGTCAAATTTATCGTCAGGGCCGTAGCTAGAAGCTTAATTGGGGGGGGGGGTGCATATTCATATATTCGTCATATGCCCGAATGATTTCTTTTGTATATAGCTTTTCCTATGGTATATAAACATGAATATATGAATAACACCCCCCAATTAAACTCGAGTTAACCTGGGTTGGTGTCAGATTACGTTTATATGTATTTACGTGAACTGGATTGCCGCAGTTAATTCATGCGTTTATTTGCTAAAAAATCCTGCTTTATATTATAATGAAATACCGATTAAAGCAGCTACAACGTAAAGGTTAACTGGGGCCGGTTGTACAGGGTGTCTCAAAAAAAACGCAACCACTTAAATATGCAAGAATATTTATATTGTTCGGGTTTGCACCATAGTTCAGCTAAAATGCCTTTAGCATTTTAAATGAAGGATTATGCATGAGCCATTTTCAATGCTCAGAGGTGCTTATCTATCGCGCTTTAGAGCTGTATTAATGTTTTGCATATTTAAGTGCATGGTTGCGTTTTTTTTAGACACCCTGTATAAACCTCTTAACTGCATTTTGCGCATAGTTAAATCGTAGTTAACTCAGAAATGAATTACTCTGATTGGTCAATTCTGTCACTAACAATATGGTTAAAAGTTAACTACGTTTTTATGCAACCGGCTCCTGGAAAATAAAGTTAACTGAAGTTAATATGTAGCTAGAGTAGAGATGTTACAAAAAGAAACAAAAAGGCCAGATCAGTAACGATCGCGAGGCTCTACAGATAATCTTTTAAAATTTATAATCCATTATACAATTATACCGATTGATTGTTGTGTGTTTCGATAGTTTCCAGTTGTCAAAAATGTTATCTTCTCACATTTTAAAGTTTTGTCCGGATATATTCGACCAAGAAAAGTCGGAAAACAAAATTTATTCGAATTAGCGGAGTAAATTACTATAAAGAATTAACATTACCAAAACCAAGGAGAATTGGATTTAGTTCGAGTTAGTGAGCCGGGTGCCAACTATATACTATATTTATTTATCCAAAGCATTAAAGTGTCTATGACATGAATTTTTTTTGCTTTTTCGATAAAATATGTTTTAAAATATTCATTTTGATATATAGTTTATGGTGGCTCTTTTTTGTTTCGGAGTTATGAGCCAAAAGCATACGAAATATTGTCGGATTTGATTTACTGTATTATGAATGTGAATGTACATTCTTAACATATAAAATATTGAAATGCACTTAGGTGTGAATATGCCTGTCAACTGCGTCAAGGGTAAGTAAGGTAAACACGGAGAACATTTTTGTCTATATTATTACCTTTTTTGCAACTCCAAATTTATTTTGGAGCAAAATCATGTTCACGTGAAAGACAGTGTAGCGAATTAAAATTTAACATCGTAATTTGTTGATTCATTTCTTTGCAAGCTCTGCTATTTAATTGGTGTTGAGTTTACTACGCACAAATCTATATATATTTATAAGAAAAATCTTTTTTACTTGATTAGCATGCAAGCGCAATTTGTGATGGTAAGATAGATCAGGCTTTTTGCTTTTTGCTTTTTGTAACAAATCGAGAAAAAAAATCTTCTGATATATTCAGAATATGCGATTTTCATCATGATCCAGGTCATAATTTGCTTATTTTGTTTTCCATACGGTACAAAAAAATATCATTCGACAGCGAAAAGCTTCTATCATAATATCAAAAACTTACACTTGTTTTAAAAGTAATTTTCCCATAAAAGCGTGCTAAAATTAGGTTACCATTTTTTTATACACTTGCATAGCATAGTAATTGGTAATAATACGGACTGTTATGCCTATTGCTTTCTGAGTCTAGATTTGTTCTTATACTGATGTCGACACTTCCTAGATGGCCCAAACAATATGATAATAGATTTCTGATTCACTCCTAGTGGAATCTAAACGTGATCTACAAATCATGAAGAACATAATGATACATTGTGAAACACTACACCCTAGTGAGTAAGTGCAAATGTTTAGATCAGTAACCTAACTAACCTTGAATAATCGTTACCACCACTGGTCACTGCATGCCATCCACTTAGTTGAACCCCATCGTTTGCGTAAGTTTGGCCATTACGGATGCACCTAAACAATGGCTACACACGTATACGGGAAGAATGTCTTCATTATACAAAAATGTAATAATCTCAATAGCAGTTATAGCACGTTGAAGATGTAATTAGTGTCATGTGACACTTAAGACACAATACTATCAATACTGGTGTTTCAGCCACAGAACGCAGTACACGGCATCGTATAATTTGTATGATTTTACTGAAATTGAAGTTGGTAATGAAATTATTCGATCTATATACAATAAGAAATAAAGGATTATAATCAAGTATAAAATGAATTACGTGCTAATATTTCCGTTCGCATGTTATGAAAATCATATGTAAATCAAACATAAATATTTATCTAAACTTACTTCTTGCCGGATTTTCGCGCTCTAAATATCTTTCAAATTACAAACATTCACCGGTTAGCATATAACAGACACAGAACAAATCAGCTTTCTTCCTTCAAACGTGCTCTACATGTGGACTCTCACTCTAAAATATCTCCGTTCAATTGTCAATCAAAAAACTACTCAAATTACTGACAAACCGCTGGTCATCGATCCAAATACAATGTTGTAGACATATACGCGCAACATGTATATACAGTAGTCCCCCGCTAACTCGAACTCGCTTAACTCGAACTCCTCGCTAACTCGAACTAAATCCAATTCCCCTTGAATTTGATAGTGTTTTTATAGTAATTTACTCCGCTTAACTCGAACTCGCTTAACTCGAACTCCTCGCTAATTCGAACAAATTTTGTTTCCCCTTGGTCAAATATATCCGGTTAACTCGAACTTTGGTTTCGAATCATAGATCAGCAAACTTTAAAATGTGAGAAGATAGAATTTTGACAACTGGAAACTATCAAAATAACAACAAGTTAATCAGTGTATAATTGTATATAAATGTTTATAAATTTTAAAAGATTTTGTGTGGTGGTTATTGATCTAACTTTTTTAGTTCCTTTGTATTCTTTCGATCTTTTTAATTTTAAAACGTCGTCCACTCTCGCTGACCATTCATATTGAGAGGCCTGGTATCCCTTAAAGAATGATTCGATTGGATTTTATATCTTATTGTATTACTTATATAATAAACGTAATCTGACACCAACTCCGGTTAACTCGAACCCCCGGTAACTCGAACAATTTTTCTTTCCCCTTGGGAGTTCGAGTTAGCGAGGGACCATGCACTGTACTATGTATAACAGAAATATGAAAGTGGAAGTCAAATCCGTTCTGCGCATTGGTTTTGCTTAATGGCGACCCGCAAAGGTTTTACAAAATGTATGATGTAGAGAAATTAACACTCCTTTTACTCTTTAGGCATATCTATGAACGGTTTGCCCGTGCTTATCCTACCAAGTATTGAGAAGAGATTCAGTTTATCGAGTAAAGAACTGGGGATTATTGCAGCTGCCAATGACGTCGCCGCCCTTCTTTTCGTTGCTTTCATCAGTTTCTATGGAGACTATGGCAACAAAATAAAGTGGGTGAGCGGTGGAGCGGGTGTTGCAGGTTCGATACTAGGGACCTTAAGATCCACCAAATCTACGACGCGGACGTGAAGTAGTACTGTCTTCATTTCCACAACAACAGGAATAAAAATCATGGAATCCTTTTCGTAAACAAGGTCAGAGCTGTATGTAAAACTAATGAAAACTGGTTTTCTAACAATTCTGCGGCCGATTTCATGTCACGTCCGCGTCGTAGATTTGGTGCATCTTAAGGTCCCTACCGTGTAAACCATTGTCTATATAATTGGTCAAGATGGGCTTTAATGCTAAGAGCCTTGTAGCTTATACTATTTAAATCAATAAAATAGTCGAGGGAGAGGTTTTACCGATATTTCCTTTATTACTTTAAGCTCACATCTTCAGTACAGTTCGAGAATTTCGACATTGATCATTGGCGCCCACCGTGCAGGTTTGGTTGCAACGTCGCAAGTTGATTTCACTACAGCTGAACTTTTATTCCATTTCAACCTATAGGCTTTGGAGTACTTTTCTTCACTTTGCCTCATGTCATGATTGGACCATATCATGTTCCTGACTTTCAGCCAAGTAAAACTGGAATGTGCTTATTATCCAATAAAACCTCTTCATCGCAGTCGTGTGACGGTGATAATGGAACCATGTGGTACTATATGATGATATTTGTTATCGCACAGTTCATCCACGGTGCTGGTATCTGTCCATTGTATTCACTGGTCCCTTCGTATTTGGATGAAAACGTTGAACCGAAGCAGATGCCTGTGTATCTTGGTCTTTGGTACCTCTCCTCATTTATTGGACCCGGAATTGGAGTATTGCTAACCGGGCAATTTCTTAGCGTTTACGTTGACATTCAACAGGTAAATTGAAACAAGGACTTCTTACTGCAACTCTATAGATATTTTCTCTTTTGGAAATGACGGGGAAAAGGGAAATTTAACAAAGGATTCTGCGTGAATTCTCAGTGTTTTTACGACCCTCCTCACTTTCATCATTTCGTAGTTACGTCAGCGATATGTTATAGGCAGAAGCTTATTATTTTCAAGTTACTGTAGTGGCAACGAGCCAACGACAGCGATATGACTTTTAAAACAATGTTATATATATGCAAGAAATCTCTTCTTTATGAAAACAATTCCTGCAAATTTTGTATGCTTTATATACAGCGTACAAATAAGTGTAATTTTATTTTGACCGATGTAATTATATAGCCAGATGGATTGAATCTTACACCAAAAGATCATCGTTGGATAGGAGCATGGTGGTTAGGATTTCTCGTCTTTGGTTTACTATTTTTGTTCCTAGCAATTGTTGTATCGGGTTTCCCACGGTCTTTACCCGGGGCAAAAGAAAGACGTGAAAAACACATACGCGAAGGAAATTTACGAAAAGAAAACAGAAGAAAAGAAGCAAACCTGAAAGGAATCATCCCTGAGTTAAAATCTCTAATTTTGAATTGGACATTCCTGTTCAATTCCCTTGGGGTATCTGTAGGATTCACCTTTATGGGCGGTTTGGTTCCATTTTTGGGGAAAATACTTCAACTAAAATTTGATTTAGATTCTGTGAGCAGTGGATATCTGATATCAGCAACATTCATCCCAACAACAGTGGGTATGTTAAACACGCTTATTGAAGTTAAGGTGATCAATAATAATATAGTTGTCAATCACTGTCACTAACCATAGTAATGTACAATGTTTAAATGTATGTAAAGATATATGTTTTGCCATTGTGTCTAGTATTCCCGGCAGTTCTTTCAAACGTCTACTTCTATATTGTTAACCTGTTTATGATGTTGAAGTGACTCTAGTATTACAAAGATTATAATAACAATAACAATAACTCACTTTTTTATTAGCCCCAGATGAATGTAATGTGATTGAATTCTATACTTGAGTTCACCTTTTTGACATTAAGACCATTGCTGCATGGGGTATAGTCTGATCAAACTACTTCCTAGAACCTTCGTTGAATAATTTATATCATGCAGATAGTTGCTTATATGTATATACCTCTGCCAAAAAATCATACAATGCATGCATGCACACACCAAAAATCAGGATAATAATAATAAATATTAAGTGTTGTTATAGTTTGTTGGTAGGCCTCTTTGTGTTCCGTTGGACAGCCTTTGCATCTCTAATGACTAATGATATTTTTTGTATTATATAGTGGGTGTTTTGTTTGGCTCATTTGTGGTTCGAAAATTTCCATTGAAAAGTGTTTGTAAAAAATCGGCCTTCTTTATGGCCACCACCCAGATATTCTGTATGATAGCACCGTTCGCACTACTTATACCAGGATGTAGGAATGTTAATATGGCAGGAGTTTCAACTTCCTATACAGATAGGTAAATATATATATATACAAAAAGCTATATAAAAGCTATATCAAATATTTTGATATGGGTAGCCACGCTGTTTTAATGGTCAAATGCTTGTCCTATGTAAAGTTTCCAGCATGTTTGGTGCTCATATACAAACATTAAACAATATAACCATATTTTGGTTATGATGTCAAATATTTGAAATGGATAACCACGCTGTTTTAATGGTCGAATGCTTGTCCTATGTAAAGTCTCCAGCATGTTTGGCGCTCATATACAAACATTAAATAGTATAACCATGCTTTGGTTGATGTCAAATATTTTGAATGGATAACCACGCTGTTTTATGGTCAAATGCTTGTCCTATGTAAGTTTCCAGCATGTTTGGTGCTCATATACAAACATTAAACAATATAACCATACTTTGGTTATGATGTCAAATATTTTGAATGGATAACCACGCTGTTTTAATGGTCAATGCTTGTCCTATGTAAAGTTCCAGCATGTTTGGCGCTCATATACAAACATTAAACGATAAAGCTTTGGTTATGATGTCAAATATTTTGAATGATAACCACGCTGTTTTAATCGTCAAATTCTCGTCCTATGTGAAGTTTCCAGCATGTTTCGTGCTCATATACAAACATTAAACAGTATAACCATGCTTTGGTTATGATGTCAAATATTTTGATATGGATAACCACGCTGTTTTAATCCTCAAATTCTCGTCCTATGTTAAGTTTCCAGCATGTTTGGTGCTCATATACAAACATTAAACAATAAAATTTGGTTATGATGTCAAATATTTTGAAATGGATAATCACGCTGTTTTAATGGTCAAATGTTCGTCCTATGTAAAGTTTCCAGCATGTTTGGCTCTCATATACAAACATTAAATAGTATAACCATGCTTTGGTTATGATGTCAAATATTTTCAGGGACCGCGGAGCAGTTTTTGGATTGGGGGGGGGGGGCTAGCGAAGCCGAAAGAGTGAACCCTCGGGGGGTCCATACTTATCTATTTATATTTTTCTTATAAACACTTCAATGAAAACATTTTTCACCGACATGGATAGTGAACACATAATTATGATTACACAACTTACTATAAGGAGTTTTTATTCGTATTATTATGGCCATATAAAAATCGCTATAAAGGAATCACATGTATTTAGAAAATTATTGGGGGGGCTAAACCCCCCAAACCCCCCCCCCCTTCGCGGTCCCTGGTCGTATAATTTTAGCATGTGCAGGATAAAGCTGTGTGTACTGTGTAGCCTACATATGATTCAAAAACTCGATCTTTAGAACAGTGACGGAACTTCAAATAAGACTGGAACGCTCACTCTCTGACTTTCCCGTATTAATGAGTAAAGCCAAGATAGCGAATTATGAAGTCTTTCTTGTATAGGTATGATCCAGGCCTCTAGCACGGAAATTTCAAAGGAGAAATAAAAATTACCGCCATTTTACTTACGAAATTTCTGCGTGGAGGCCTGGGTCATACCTACGAGAAAGGCTTCAGTGATCTCTATCTTGGCTTCAAACGTCCGACAGAGTGAGCGTTCCAGTCTTATTTGAGTCCACTGCTTTAGAACCGCTCAAATACTATATCAACCTCATTAGCGATGCTTTATATATAAAAACATCTCACCCTTAAAATTTATATTCTTTATATAAAGAATCCTTATGAGGGTGAGCAATTTTATACAAAGAATACTAATGAGCTTAATTAGAATAGTCTAATATGAAACAAAATATTTTATTAAGGAAAATTTAATCACACAATAACATTTAGTATACCCAACTCTGCTTTTTTACTTGGTAATAAAATTAAGTGCAATTGTTAAACACAGATCTTGCACACGATTTGCCCACTGTATTACTATTAGCCCTATAACTGTTTATTCTACCTATAATTATCACTTGGAATAGAGCAAGTCCCCGCCTATATTAGGGAGATTCAAAACATACAAATTTCGCCTTCTGGATTTAAATAGCATATCTGTTTTGTTTTCGGCTTACTTTACATTAAAAGTGCCTGAAAAATCCAAACAAAAACAAAAATACCCATGCTTAGTTTTTTCGAGGTGATTTCAATTTTGTTCGTTCTTCTAAAATCACCTAGTATAAATTTGAATTGTCGTTTATTTATGATTTGTTTTTAGAGAATTAATATTAGAGAATATATTGTTATCGCGGTATATGTGAAAATATGAAATATATATATATGAAAAATGAAAGTGTCCGCGAATTTTATTTATTCCATGTTTTTTCTAGAATAAGTGCGTACCGTGTTGAAGCGAACACAAGTTCTACCAACAATGATCTTAATTCCCGGTGTAACCTTGACTGTAGCTGCAAAATAGATCAATTCATACCCGTGTGTGGCTCTGCAACATTGTCTATGCCAACCCATGCTACGCTGGCTGCTCGGCAAAGTATAGCAATAAAGTGAGTAAATCATATAGTTTAATTCTTGAGGTTTTCAGTAAGAAAAGTTAGGAAATCGAGATATTATTGAATTTGATAATTAGGTTAAACTCTGATGCGACATGACTTTTTGGGGAACGAATGAGATATTATCAGTGACCAAGCTATAATAGGATAGATAGGCGAAAATTGTGGTAGCATTCGTAATCTGTTGTATTTTTATGTTGCAATAGACGTTTGGAAGTTGCTCTTGCATTGCTGGTGATGCTACCAATACAAATACTGCAAGACAAGGTTACTGCGATCGTGATTGTAAGAATCTGGCCATCTTTCTATTTCTCATCACTTTCACGATGCTTTTAAGATTTGCAGCCGCCGTTCCATCGCAAACTGTCATTCTGAGGTAAGGATCAAGTTTGCCTTTCTGCAGAATGTGTGCGGAGTGATGAACAAAAATATTTCTTCGTTTCCTTAATTCTGTTATGCAATAAAAGTAGCAAAATTCTATTTGTTATAAGCAGGTGTTTAGGGAAGGATAAATTGGGGGACGACTCTCCTTAACAAAATTTTCCTAACCTGCATGCGAGGGAGGGGTGCGTTCTCACGCTCGCGAAAGACGACTTCATCTGTGTCAACTCTTATTGCAACTGTCAATTAAACTGAAGTGTTTATTATTTCTGGATTGGCGAAGAAAAGGAGCGACTTCCTTGTGTGTCTTCGCAACTGTATTGATAATAAAAACAAGCAGCCATTAGAAAAATCATGAAATTGCATTCTATGTGTACATATTTAGCATATTTATCGTCTGAAACTAGACAGTATATTTCAGACGATAAATACACATGACCTATTTTTATCGTCTAAAAATTTTAAAACACTTGCTGGTGGCCTTGTCACCTTTCTGTTTCATTATACAAAAAATTTAAACTTTCTAGATAGTATAATATTTTACATTTGACAGAACTAAATAGTATATATAATAATTTACTTAATATGCACTTTCTTGCAGATGCGTTCCGGACAACAAAAGGGCTTTTTCAATGGGAATACAATATGTTATGCTGAAGACAATCGGCCTAATTCCGGGTCCAATAATTTTTGGTCATCTATTGGACCTTTGCTGCCGATTGTGGCAAGATCTTTGTGGAAAGACAGGAAGATGTTTTGATTACGATGTTGATCTTGCTGGAAGAAATATATGTATTTTTGGAGCAATATCAATTGGTAAGAAATATTATAACACCAGTATCAGCGACCTTGACTATGCGACCAACCGTGTTGCAGTGCCAAGCGGTGTAAGAAAAAAAACCCCTCCTCCGTCATCATGATGGTAATAATTTCATATCCAGAATCCACGAATATAACTTTTAATCCTAAACCTGACCCAACGGCTTATACAAAAGGATTAGAATCAATATTATTATATTCGTTGATTCTGCCGGACATGAAATTATTACTGACCGTCCTGTCTTGTCATGACTATAGTCTTACCGCACGTGAAAATTGTCTCCATGTCTCTTGCTACTGATTGCAAGATTTCCTATAATCTACTGCATATACTAGTACTGTAAGACAGTTCTGGGTCGCTTATACTAATATTACATATAAGAGTTGTAAAAACTGTTTGGAACGTTTCTAGTAGAAAACTCTTAAAAAAACTAAAACCAACCTCCTTGTATTTCCTTATATTCATATTCAATATCATATTATTATAGCAGATAGAAAGTAAAAATTTTGCATTATCATTTTAGGTCTATCCTCGACGTGTTTAGTGTTTTCGTGGCTCTTATATAATCCTAAAGAAACTCCAGAATCTATTAATTTAAATATCAAGAACGAAAAGGGCATATCAAGTTTTGAAACCGTTATGTAGCAGGCGGCGATTCAGCAAGCTGGCGGGGTGTTTTTGGCAAAAGCGCTTAATGCTTATGCCTGTAACATTCTTTTCTTAGGGGACGTAAATCGGATTTTATCTGACGATTTTGATGAAATATGTCTGGGCAAGAATTTTGATTTTTTGTGGATTGAATAATGATCATTCTTGAAAGCTAAGCTCTCTAATCTTATTTATAGTGCACACATTGGCCGGTTGTTCTCGCTGTTTTGGCTAATATATTTATGGTAATTGGGTTTAGTACAGAATTAGTTTTTAGTGTGAAAAAGGTAATTTGAGACGCAGTTTGAATTCCATTTGCCCTTGTCTAAACCTTTAGCACGTTCTGTGTGTATATATATCACCCAAATTTCTATAAATCTGTCTATGAATCTAAAAAGACAGCCTTGAACGAGCTCCTATGCAGCGCAATTACTCGTACGTTGATCGATTTTATAATTTCTTACCCTGCATCGATGTTTGATTAAGAAGAATTTCACGAGTCGGCCACCAATTGAAAACGTCGAATACTGATGTTGCCGGAAAGAATTTGAAAACGCAAAAATACTTCTCTGCTAAAATCTTTTACTGCGTCCACACATAGAGAGAAAAACGATTCGAAAACGCTAAAATGACTTGATCCTGCAGTATACCTTTAGGAAGCGTCATGTTTGATTGTTTTCCACCCACGTGTGTTGTGAAATGTATCAAATCCAAAGCAAAAACAAGATGAGAACTTTGTTTGCACAGACGACGAGTTTGAGCTCCTTCTAAATGTTGTTTTTGAGTATATATTAAGTAAAAAAAACCCAGCAAAAAACCGTCGGGTATATAACGCCAAATCACCTGACAGTTTGGACATGGTTATCGCAAAGAATCCTTGTTTCGGGAACATGATGTTGAAAATCATCGGCTCATTATGAAATGACCTACATACGACTCATCTGACGTTATATATAGTAACATTAACTAGGGCAAAAAACAATCCATCAATATGAAAACAATAGTAGCTTGCTTGCTCTCTTGAAGTTTTGCTTAATTAATTAAAGGCCCAGTCCCGCTTATTCAAATAAGGAGACCTATATTTTAGAGCATTCATAACCTTTTTGCTCGTTTCCATCGGTCAAAAGAAGAAAATCGCACACAAAATCGCAACAAAATTTGCAAATGTAAACGGGGCTTAAAACGGTTGTAGCCGAGTGGTTGAACTGGATTTGAAACGTTTCGTCATCGTTTTCACATCGCTTTCCAATTTATCTCATCGTATTCCACCCTGGAGATCGTCTTCAAATGCTTCCGGTTTCAGTGGGCGAAAAGCCCGGATTAGTGTGGGTGGAAGCACGTATGTAACCGTAAAAATATTCTTGCGCGCTCAAATTCTTCCGGCATCCTGTGGACTCGGGGCCTAAGATAAAGTATCCGTTGAAGAATACTCTCAGTCTCTCACCTATATTAACACCCATGGATTTAAGCGGCAGTAATCTTGATACATCAAAGGAGCCTAAGCATTTGCCTGCAGAACAATTACAAAGTCATCATGGAACAGCGTTGAAATTTGGTTGGGGGAGATTTAGACCAAGATGTCTAAGTTTTTTGTACAATTCAAAATGTTTTATCCTGGTTATCATGTTATATACGACATGCTCAGGTGGGAAATATTTCTTTTCGATCATAAATTAAAAAAAATGTTTTTTCCTCGTCAAATCATGGCATGTGAGCACACAACACGAACAAATTAAATATTATGGTAATAGCCCTGTTATAGCCATCGCTTTTCAAGCTTGCTAACTCACAGGTTTCTCTAATATTTTCCCTGCAGGCTATTATCGAGGTTTGACTTGATTCATAGAATCATAGATATCAAAATACCAGTTAAATACTACTGAGCGTGATACAAAAATCAAGAGATACATTATGAAACACTACACCAGTGTTTAATAAGTGTCAGACCTAAACGGAATGGTTTGTCTACGTTTGGCATTACGGGTGCACCATAGCTGGAAGCTAGGCAATGGAAAAATGAAATATGCAATGTCAATAGCACATTTTCGATACCCTAGCTATTGTAGACTATACACGCGCAACATGCATGCAGGGTGTCATATATATAACATTCCGGCAAAACATTAAAGTGGATGTCAGGTGATCGTCAAGGTAGCTTCATAGATTCGTGGCTTTTGATTCATATTTTAATCTAGAGCAACCCAGGACAGTGGAGTTTTACCCACTAAACGTACGTGCGTGCAATACTGCTACATATAGTTGGCGCTCAACTCTGCTCTGAATGGCAGGTTTCATTAATTTTTTGGATGATTGCTGGTACATTCTCTGACTCTGGTGAATTTTCAGATTTCCGATTTCGTTTTCTATAGTTTACTATATTATTGGAATCTGTACGTGCTGTGTTGAATCCTGCATGCATGGAATGCAATAGGATACTTGATGAAACACTACACCATTGTAAATGGTGTCATTCATACAGTGTTCCCATAACTGCACCAGTGGTTTGCATGTATTTTGTGGTATAGGTATTTATGCAAACAATAATATTGCTGCGCTATATTACATAGTAGGACTCCTTGTAATACTAGTAACTTCGGGGTAATTTAGGGGCTTCTATAAATAAAAAATAATATCAATGAATAGCACAGTTTCAGACATGCACGTAATTGGTATCGTGTAACGCTATTTTAAGATACAATATTGTCATCACCATGTTTAATAGACTTTTATAAGTAACAGATGTCATGTAAATATTGAAAATGTAAATATCGAGCATAACAGAATATTTTAAACTGTTCAAAATGTCCTCAACTATCCATGAATAGAAATAAAAGATAACTGTGCAAAATTTCGGCTATATTGTTACTATATGGCCATATATATTAATGGATACATAATAATGCACTTGAAGGGCGATTCACGCGAGGGAAATCCTATACTACGCGAATTACTTCCAAGGAAATCCGGATCCTATACTAAGTGAGAAGAGAATAAATTTATCCAGTGAGCAACACGGGTTATTTATGTTACGGATTTCGTGATTTTTAGTTAGGAAAGTCGATTGGCGGTTGTAGAGACTGGGTTCAAAAAGAAAATATTTCGTGCGTGTAACATGACGACAGCAACAGAACTGGGATATGCGCATCGGTTTTGCTCAATAGGAACCTCAGAAGTTTTACAAAATGTATGGTGTATATAGAGAAATTGAAAGTTCTTTCACTTTCTAGGCATATCAGTGATCGGTTTACCTGTTCTTATCCTGCCAAGTATTGAGAAAAGATTTAGTCTATCGGGTAAAGAACTGGGGATTATCACAGCTGCGACTGACGTCACCGCTCTTCTCTGTGTCGTTTTTATCAGTTACTATGGTGACTATGGCAACAAGATCAAGTGGGTTGCAGGAGGAGCAGGCGTTTCAGGTTAGATGCATACAAGTTATTTTTTTTTACCGGCTGCGAGGTCTGGATGCAAAAAGTCTTCACATGCATTAAATAATCTTTTAGCCTTTTCCAGATAGGTTATCACATGTTTATTAGCAAGTCGTTTGCGTTTTGTCACTTTTTCCAACAGAAACACCGGCCCGCTGTTAAACGCTCCCTAGCCAATGGGATTTCTTCAATTACATAGTTACAAAATAAAAAATATTGCACGCAGACCTAGCAATGCTCACAGCTCTTGCGTGGAAGTTTTCGATGCCGGAATTCTGGAAAACAAAAAAACAGATTCTGATTGACATTTAAAAGACCTAACAGAAGCACAAAAACGAACCTCTCTATAGAGGGCTCTCGATCATTTTTTCTCACTCATATAGGAATCGTCAAAACATTTTATTATTGCTTAATTTTCTCGCTTTCAAATCATCACGCCATATATATGCTGCTATTTGGGCTACTATATATATATGCATGCTACGATCGTTGCGATCGAAACGTTATTTACGCGAATCTTGAAAGAAAATTCTTTCGGCCGCTAAACAAGGATTTCGTATACTTGTAGACATTACTGAACTGTAATGTAATTTAAACATAGGTTTTGGAGTACTTTTGTTTACTCTACCTCATGCCATCGTTGGACCATATCATGTTCCTGACTTTGAAGAAAGTGAAACTGGAATGTGCTTATTGTCCAATAAAACGTCTTCATCGAGCACGTGCGACAGCGATGGTAGTGGAAGCACGTGGTACTATATGATGATATTTTTATCGCACAGTTCATCCTTGGTGCCGGTATCTGTCCATTGTATTCACTGGTCCCTTCCCT